CCAATGCGCAACGACCTCATGCCTGAAGGGCAGCTAAGTGTCATAGACAGTTTCCTGAGAAGAGATTGCAAACATCTGCCCCCTTCGGTTTTCGCTGTTTTATCTTCCGAGATTATTAAATTATTATTTAATGATGAGACGTTGATAAGTCATTCAAAAACTAAGAAAACCAAGCTCACAAACAAACGAGTCCTTGTATATGTAAATTGTTCATTTGTTCGAATTTTATAATTACTATCGTAACTTAAATACACTGGAAAATCAGACAAGTCAGACGAGTTTGACCCGTTATACATATATCATAGCTATCCTATAGGTACAGGTTTGCATAATGACCAGCTTCCTTTTGATTGAAGACTGTAGTACTGTAAGCACTTCATTGAAGGCATTGATGATTGTTCGGCTTTCTTTTCAATTATGATTTTCTTAGTCTGGCATTCTAGCAACTATGCTGTGCATGAGGCGCATTAGCGGAGCCCGACATTTAAGATAACAATTTTTAAACCGAGATAGCTTTTTAAAGGCGAAGTTCTACTTGAATTCTCCAATGTCACCATTCTATCCCTTTTAACTTAATTGCAATAAGGAAACCCCTGTTAAGTTATTGTTCCATGATCACTGCCTACTCACTTATAACGTACAATTCAGATGAAAGAGTTATGAAACTACGAAGGCATTTCACAAAATTATACTTATGAAAGAGCAACACCCCAATAGCTAAAGGACTGACAGATCACTTCACAGAACTCGTTAATCTCTACGACCTATTTCTTCTATCGATCATCATTGAGTCTTGATAAATGAGATGTGATTGGATGGAGACACTCTATTCACTGTCAGATCTCATACAACTTGCAGCTGGAAATATGGCGTTAAACTTTCTCTTCGACCACTCTCTAATCTGCAACAGGAAAAAATATCATGACATTCTTTTAGTCTCAGCCGCGAGAAAGGGTGTCTGAAAAATACTAGTTTGAGATTCCGATAGATAACCTAAAGTAAGACTTAAAACGGGTCGTTAAGGCAAAGAAGAAGTGAAAAGGGACTTTACTTCGACTTAGTCAAGCGGCAGGGTTGCTAAGCAATATTAAAAATGTGAGGATCGTTTGGCGACTTGCAAATTTGAAGACAATTTCAAAAAGGCTAGGTTACTCCTCTGACAGCTTTTAACGTGATCGTCACCATAATTTTACGTCCAATCTTGAATTGCTTTAATAACCAAGCAGTGTAAGTCTTCCCCATCATACAACTCCTGTAGTTTGTCGCCTGTGGGGGGTGGGGGGGGGGCTAGAGAAAATTAATCTTACAGCGAAAATTGCAATTTTTCATTCAGCTGAGCATTATGACTTTGTGTGAATTGGCGTTTAAACGTCATCATATTCGATAATCAAACTTTAAATCAGTTCAGTTAAAACAACACCATTTGTACTTACCTGAGTGTTTCGCACACAATGCAAAAGAAAAATAAGAAATCCCTGTAAAAAGAATAAGATGCATTCCTGGATGATACATGCAACTTAACAATTATGAGGTTGGTTTCATGTGATTTTTTAATAAGCTTACTAAAAGTTTGTCGGGTTAAACATATGGATGGATATGTTTACCTGAGTCGAGCTGAAGATAGTAAATACATAAGCGAAAGCTTTGTGAAATGCAGAAAGGATACCAAACAACCACGTAATACCCAGCAAGGGAATCATTACAACGCATGTCTTGATACAAAGTCTATGAAAAAAATTACAATAAGCAAACAAACAATAACAAATTGACAAATAAGAAAAATAGATTAACAATAATATGCGACCGGGCTGTATCACTGAGTTCCTTGCCTAAGACCAACGAGCTCATCCGATTGAATTATAGAAAAAAGAAACAGAAAAAAAGGATAAAATAGAATAAGATATCAAACGAAAAGCGATAATGCACCCCGAAAACCTTACTTCAAAGAGCAAAGACCATGAATTACCAAATTGACTGCAAAACCTAGCAAAACTCCTAAATTTTTCCCCCTGTATCGCCAGAGGTGCATTTCAAACGATACATTTTCATGAACCAATGATGAATACCAAAAACAGGTTCGATACAAGGCAGATAATCATAACTCAAAAGCAAAGTGCCACGGCTTAAGTCTTTGGCTGTTTTTTTTTTTGTTATTTTTGTTTTTGTTTTTTTTTTGCCGTTATTGTTGTCATTATTTTTGTTGTTGGTGTTATGGTTTTCCCGTCTCTAGAGTTCTCTTTTATTCTTACCCTATCTGATGATTTTCCGGAGCTGACTGTATTGCGGATATTTCTTTAATAACTCTGGCCAGAATTAACAAATTAAGCTACAAAATGATAAAATTTAAGATGGGTTAAACAGGCGTGTGCGATTGCCCTCAACCACTCAAATACAAACTTTTTTCCTCAGTCTGAGGCTCAGGTATTTAACAACTATCCCATGGGNGCGAAAAGCTGCCGGTTATTATAGACTTCTTAGTTAATAATAATAATAATGATAATAATAATAATTATTATTATTTATTATACAGCGCGATCTACAATGACATATCAACAGCGCTTTATAATTAATTTCTCTAAATATCAACCCACTCATCCCAACCCAGGGGAAGACCTACATCACACAGTAATATCGTGCGTGGGATGTTCTGGAAAGGTAGTATATTCTCAATTATTTTAAGACCTTGAGTGTTGGTCCGGCCAGGTCTCGAACCCTCGACCTCCCTCACAACAGTCCAGCGCTCTATTCATTGAGCTAACCGGGAGGCGATTTTGCTAACCGGGAGGCGATTTAGCTAACCGGGAGATTGGAATGCTTACTATTCTTTGCTGATGAAACTATCGATTTCCTCTCTTGCTGAAGCAATTATCAGCGAAATACTAACCAAAACGGCTGGGAGACCTGTAATTAAAAAAAAGAAGGAAAGTTTCATCAAAGATGAAATCACTACGCATTAGAATCACTTTGATATAGAAAACTCGATATAGTTTTTCATAGTCTTGGAATAGTGCAAGAGCTTACCCCATGAACAAGCATGGTACAAAGCCATCCTCTCATCTATATTGTAAACTTTGACAACAAACAGGTAAAGATAAATTCCTTCAACAAGCATCCAAAAAAAAGCTGACATGAAAAAATACTGCATCAAGGCTGCCACTGCGACACAAATACCCTACGAATCAAGGAAAGATAACGCTAGTTGTCAAACTTCAAAAGAAGAATCGTTGCAACAAGCATAGACATGGTCAAATGCTCAAAGTTGTCACGAAAGCTAAGACTCCTCCGTCACAAAGCTGTCACGAAGTTGTCACGAAAGCTTTTTCTGACTTTGTGTTATGTTGGGTTTTTTTAAAACAAAAATAAAGGCAAACGGTTACTTTGTCCTGTGTGGCATTGATTCCGGCAAGAAACATGATCTGACCAAGTCCCAGAGAGGCAGCAAGACTAAACCTCACTTGAGACAGGGGCTGATGTACATCGCTATTGAAAAAAAAAAAAAGGCAATTTTGTTGATAGAGATAAAAAGTTAAAAAAGCATAATTGTTTTTTACATCAAGTAAGAAACTGTACAACAGCATCAAAATTTAAAGGATATGAACTTAACTACAAGTACGAGAAAAGACAATTAAACTAGAGAGGTCATAGTTCGAGAGTACGAAGTGTAGTAAAAAAAAATCAAGAAAAAGCCAAAAAACAAACAAACAAACAAACAAAAGAACAAATAAAAGAAGAAACTTACGTGAGGAGAGCATACAAAACTATCGTAAGAATCATTCCAATCAAAGACAAGATCAGTCCCACGTAGGTGAGAATCGTCAATATCTCCTCATCTGTCTTCGTTGGCTATTTTGCCACCGTAATACCAGACAAAAAATAGCAAATTTTAATTGGTGAAAGAAATCGATATCATCTGACCTAATATCGCGTAACCAGCATAAAATAGAATAACAGCACCCTTTAGTAGACATAACCACAGCGAAATATCTAAAATTGGGTTCGATTTTACTTTAAATCTGGATGAGTTTGTAATTGTTTATCATGATGCTGATTTGCTGTAATTATTATTATTATTATTATTATTATTATTATTATTA